TTTACCGCGCGTTCTCAGAATTAGCGAAATTCTGAGGTGGGAGCGACAACAAAAAGAAATCGACTTATCCGATTTACCACGAGCAGAGTTTGCTGAATTGAAAATCAGAATCGACAGTAAAATCAATATAAGAGTCAGATTCGCGCAGACACTGCCGTATTGAAGATAGCACAATTAGCGCAAGACAGATTGATTTGGATTCGTGGCGAAGGCGACAGCCGAGGATGAGGGAAGCATTCGCATTGATGGTACCATCGAATTCACCACGCAGGAGTTTGAACGAAGTAGAAATCGAAAATGCTGAAATTTTGTCACTCTTCCACGGGATTAAATTCAGAGTAGAGATCCGAAATAAAAGACTAAGATAACAGCATATCCGTTAAATGTACACGTAGTGAAGTTGAGAATATAATTATTGGAATCAGATAATCCCACGTGCAATATTTAAAGTAGCTGATTACAAAATTGCGCAGATCATTAGAATTACATTAGAATTAAAATAATTACAATTGTCGATATTCTATTAAACGGATATGACGAAAATGAGCATGAGTTTATATATATTTCGACCTTTATTAATTTTATAATATTCTTTATCGAACGAATATCAATCGAAACTTTTGTTGGAAATTACATTTCGCGTAAAATAACAAATCAATAATAAACATATTACATAATAATATAATTTCTTCTTTGTAATCTTTTGTCGCGTTCTATTTTTATTAATTATTAATAATTACTAGCGAAGTTCTTTTATTCTTATACGAATTTTTATCAATTATTTACATCTAAATTATCTCTTTAAAAATCATAGATAAATTTGCAACAGATTAATTTGATGCCGATGAATAAGCGCAAATGTAATTCACTGCGCTTGCGAATCTCTTTTTTTCTCAAAGAAAAATAGGTTGTTGATGCGAGACTGTAGCACAGGAAAACTTTAGTCGCTAGTGTTCCGAGATAAGCATTCCCATCTAGGACAGACTGTAATAATAGAATTCCGCGAACAATCAATCGGAAAGCAATTAACGGAGGCGATCGTCGACCAACTTCCCACCGAATTTCCTGTCGCGTCTATTCGTGAGAAAAATATCTATTGAGTAACCGCGTTTCGTAATTTTGTTGCAGCAATTGCATCGAGTAAGGTACTCTATAAGGTACTATGCGCAGTTTAATAACGTTTAGGTGCAATAACATCTCGCGCGATTAAAACGCGTAAATATCGATATAATATATTTTACATTTTTTTCTATATATAATTTT